ATTTTCTATTTAACAAATTAAATAATTGTTTTATTAGACATTTATTTGTGTACATTATATTACTTTTAAAAATGATCGTGATCAGCTTCCGAAAAAATTTTGACAGACCGGAGAGCTAGGTGCCACCCATTGAAAAAACTGTATATTTATTGCGCACAAAAATATTTTTCGATTTATTTCTCTATGTTTTTAAAACTGCATTTTCAAAATATTTCAATTTCTAACATATTCTGACACTGTTTACACAACAAAACATTGTTTATAATTGTTTTAAATAGCCTTCCTGGCCCTGAAATTGAAATCATTGAAAATTCCGTCTATTGATACTCCCATTTTGGTTTGTAAGAATCCAACACACTTCGTACTGATGTAAACTAAAATTATGACTTTGTTTTAGCTTTTTTCAATTGAGGAAAGAATCAAAAATTTTCTTTTTTATTTAACAAATTAATAGCTCTCCGGTCTGTCAATTAATGTATTTTTTTCAGAGAGTCTTTATAAAGAAGAAGAAGAAGAAGAAAACCCAAAAAACATATCATTAGACATTTATATTGTGTACATTATATTAACTTTTAAAAATGAAACAAAATTTAGGTGTGGTATTCCTCCTATAAATATAATTATAAGAGTACGGTTTAAAGACTGAAGAAGAAAACTGTGACAGATCAAAAAAGTAACAGAAATATTTAATAGAGAGTGCGGGTTTATTTTATATATTGAGAGCTAATATTGGTTTGACTTTTAGTAGGTTAAGACTTAAAACTTTACAAAAGCAATATATAGTTTCTTGATTAAAAGGATTGCAAAAGGACTACAACTGTGTCTTTAAATAAAAAAGAATTTTCAATTTAAATTCTATGGCAACATAAATCATCAAAATCAAAAACACAAAATTTTGGTGTGGCTTGTGTGCCAAGTTATATTAAAATCAGACCAAAACTGTAGGATTTTAAATAAAAAATATTTTTATAACCACGGCAACACGGTTCGAAATAAAAACGATACACAGAATTATGTATCTTAGTGTAGTCTACTTATGTGCCAAATTATATTGAAATCAGATTTAAACTGTAGGAGAAGTAGCATTTTGAATGATTTTCACAAAAAAATTCTATTTTTAGTAACCATGGGATGAAATCAAAAACCGATACACAGAAATATTCCACTTGTGTGCCAAGTTACATTGAAATCAGACCAAAACTGTAGGAGGAGTAGCTGAAAAATTAGAGAGTGCGGGTTTATTTTATATACTTAAAAATCATCAAAAAGTTTGGGATAGCTTCTTAATATTCGTCAAGTATTCGATAATAATGACTAATTCGATCAGAGAGAAGTAGCATTATTTCTAAAAAGTCCGTAAGTGGGTGACAGGAGCGAGAGGACAGTCAGAGAAAAATGACATTATACATTTTCTAACCGGCTGAAATACATGTATATGAAAAGCCAGAAAAAAATTAAAATGGAACAGATCATGCCAAAACTCCAGATAAAAAACATTCGGAAAGGAGGGCTATATAGGAGCAATTATCCTGCGATAAAAACGTTTATGTACATATACATAAAGTAATATACATCATCATACTGCATCAAAAGAAGGGGAGAGAGACTGACGTTTTTATTATAGGTAAAAGTAATATTCTTGGGAGGGGGAAAGGTGTGGGTGGGGGGGGGGGGGGAGGTAGGGACAAGGCACGTAAAATATCAAAATCGTTAAAAAAAAAGCCTGGTAAACGTCAGATATTTCTGACTAATCTAGAAGGAGGGCCGAAATTTAGTTGAAAATTAAGAAGCAGTGAAATGGTCGAATTGGATATATATGGCACTCCAAATTCACAAAAATGAGCTAAACATACTTTCATAGTTGATAAACTATATGTTTGAATAGTTAACAATTCGTAAACTATAGTTGTACAAACGTTTGTTAACTATAGTTTAACAATAACTAGTTAACAATAGATTTTGTTGATAAAATAATACTTTTCTTTTGTAAAACTATATTTTACGTTTGTTAACTATAGTTTACGAATGCTAATCTATCTACAACGTTAACAATAGATTTTGTTGATAAACATAGATTCACGTCTGTAAACTTAAATCGTGTAAACTATAGTTAACAACGTTAATTATATTTTACATCAAAAACTGGGTTTAGTTTCACAACCAGTTTTGTAAACCGAAAACTATCATTTGTTGCAAAACAGAGAACTGGTTTTAAACTAGTTTACAAACCGTTAACTATGTTAAACCGATAAATATTTTCCATTTGTTTTGGCAGTAACTGAAACCAGTTTACAAATGTGAATAATGTTTACCAACAAAACCACCTCCGATGGTGGTTTATTCGTAAACTATAGTTAACAACCGTTAAATATAGCGATGAAAAGTATTCGTTAATATGGCGGTGATGAAAGATGGTAAACTATTTATCAAAGAAAAAGTTATAAATGATTGTTTTTTTGGGACAAACTATCTTTTGACGTTAAAATAAAACATTCTGTGACATTGTTTTATATATAGCCTTTGCTTCAGAGAATAAAAGATAAATGCTGCATATTGAAAATTAATAGTGTTTGTATAATGAACAGAATATGTTAAAATTTTCCTTTTCAAAAAAAAGGAATAGTGAAATAAAGGTTACATATGTCCAGAAACCGGCAATAAAAATGTTAAGAAAAAAATTCAGGGAAAGCAAACGCAAAAAAATTTAAGTTGCTACAAAATAGCGAATCCATGAAAAAAAAATCCGAGTTTAAAAGTTAGTTGAAACCTTCCACAGCATTAATACTTTCCCTTGTGTAAAAAATGATAAGGAATTCAAATTTTCATTTGATTAATCTTTGAGGCACATAAAAATGTAAACACTCCACTTTAACTATATGTAAGATTTTCAATCCATAGTGATAGAATATAAATTATGTTATAATTTCAATTTATGTCATCATAAATAAAAATGCCCCCCCCCCCCCCCAAAAAAAAAAGATTTTATCAAATTTATTTGCATATGTAATTTGGTTAATACATGTATGTTGTTCTCATTTTTTTGTCTACTTATCTTGTATAAACTGTTCATTTGTTTTACCGAGGTAAAGTTTTGGAAATTTAAACCAATGTTTTGAAAAACTAGTTTTAAACCTTAAACCAAAACCCGAACCAGTTTATGTGCAACAAATTCGCCCTATATTTATCAGATCGTTAACTATAGTTATCGTGAAACTGTATTTATCAAATAATCTATGTTTTGCAATCGCAAATTATTGTTTTCAGTGTTAGTATATAGTTGACGGTTCTGAAACATAGATTATCGCCTTAACTATGGTCAGATGTAAAATAAAGATTAACGTTGTGAACTATAGTTTACAGTCCGTAAAATATAGTTTACAACCGGTTTATCGACTGTGAAACCATGTTTAGCTCATTTTTGTGAATTTGGCGTGCCATAATATATATATTTTGCAACGTAGCGGTAATGTTGACCCTCCGGATCCCCACTCGAATACTACTTGCACCTGAAGTCATCACATTTCGTCTCATCACAAAAAATAAGGGGCCCGAACCCAAAATTTACAATGTTATTTATTAATTTTTTTAAATAAAGATTTGTAGCCTGCCGGTCGGTCTGAAAAATTTGGGACGGACATGCATCGGCCTCCCATGCAATTTTTCCAGACCAGCGAGCTTCGGATCTGCAGTTATGGTTATGCACTCTATGAGGGTTTTGTTATCTGATTTTTCTTAAGTATCCCCTCGAGGAATGACCAACATAATCAAATTCCAGAGCTATAATCCCCTTTACCCATACTTTCTCCATAGTTCCCGTTATATATTCTACTGTGTCAAGTTCCTAATTGAAGTTTATGCCTAGACATGTGGTCTGTATTTTGTAAGGTCCAGTCAAATTCATTGTTTTTAGGCAGTCTACGTACATAACTAATAGACACAGACCAGAAAATCATGCCAGTACGAAAATGTCGATTTTCTGTTTGCCTTTGTTTGCAATAAAATGTTTGCAGAGGAAGCAGACAGTAAGGTGAAAAGTGTGCGCTTTACTAGGTAAGACTAACCAATAATCGATTCCAGGTTTTTAACAATGTTTAATACAGTAATTTTATTGGGATTAATTATATCATATGCTATAATAGGACTTGTCCAAGAAGTGTTTTGTTTCACTGTATATTTGAATTGTGATGTATGCGGCTGTTTTGGTCATTTTAGAAAAGGTATGATTACTGAATACAGTCAAAATATTTTCTGACTTTCTTTTAAAGAAAGATAAGTTATGAGAGAATCCTCATATGAATGTGCACTGAAAGCTTAATTCATTTGATTATATCAGCGTTAAAAATTCTATATATATACCTATCCATGCATGTTTGTTTTATTTTTTAAATTGAATTTAAAGTCTCATTAAAGGATATCCTTTGCATTCCCTTATTAACTACAATCAAAGGTTAGCAACATAATATATACTAACGCGACAATTCTGTAAATTATTTTTTAAAAAATCAGTAGAGAAAAATTAGTAAGTAGAATAATTTTATGAATCTCCCCAACACTGAAAAGCAAAGTGGACCTATTAAAAACACTCTTGATTTTATTGAATCTTCCCTTTCAGTCATTTTTTTTATTCCATGAAATATTACCACCTACCAGATCAAACATTTTATCTTTAGATCCGTGCCTTGATCTTGATCAAGGTCTTACAATTTCCAAGCGTCTCATCGACCCAGAATCATTAACATTATGGACGATGGGATCAAGGACCGAAAACACCACAGTTAATTTATGGTATCTTACAACTTTACATCAGCATTTAATCAATAGAAATTGATAGGACCAAATGGCAGTATGAAGGCTAGGCTAAGAAACACAAAAACTTGCAAATTTAATTCTTTATTTTTCAATGTGTGCATTGTTTTGGTGTTGAAAATTTCTGTATTATGTATAGGCCTATAATGGAATATGTGAAATATAAATGGTCATATATTTTTTTAAATGACACTGTTTTGTGTATAAGTGACATAAAACTAAAATGATGGCATTTCAAATTCATCATATCCTAGAAAAGGGCAACACAATGAGTGTTGAACTTGTTGAAGAAAGGTAAACAGGTCCAGTCCAAAGACTATTTCTACCTACGTAGCTATTAATAGCTACCTGAATATTTAATACCCAAAGTAGCTATTTTTACCTACTTTCTGCTTTACTTGCATTTTAAAACACAATTTATGATATCAAACATGGTGAGCGAAAGTATATACAGTCACACTGATGATAAAAATGACAAAAATTCGGCCAAAAAATGAATACTTCGTATATTATCAATTTTGCATAGAAACTAATGTAAAATTGCTTATATAAAGCAATCATTTTTTGACCAAAATTTTCTAGTATTCATCATTAGTGTGACTATATCAAAAGATATGGTATTCACCATGTTGCGCCGTTTCACTTTGTGCCGCAAAATGTGAAATTATAAAAAGTAGGTAAAAATAGCTACTATGTGTTAGCTGAAGATATAAGATATATATAATAGCTACGTAAAGAAAAGGTAATTGCTATGAAATGGGTAAAAATGTCCTCTGGGATATAAAATGATGAATATTTAATGCAGCTAGTTTTCTATTGATTTTTGCTGTTAAAACACAATTTATCAATTAATGTTGTAGATAGTATATACTAAAAATGTTGAATTAATGACGGAATAATATTGAAAAATGAGTATGCAAGGTTCATCAACTTTCTAGATATTCTTAATATGGCCTTGTGTGTTAAATTATGGCATAAATTGACGGAATAGGCTATGTTTGAAGGGGTTTACTGTCATAATTTGGCTAACAATTAAATAGCCTCACTATAAGTATTAATACAAAATCAGCAGAGAATAATAATATTGGTACTCGGTAATAATTCATTGGGGTTAATAAAAAGCTGACAAACCTTTAACTGGGCTATTTAATGATAAAGACGTTATCCTTGGGACTAAAACTGGCGTGTTTTTCTGTTTACGATTTAGTTTCAGTTTAAATAAAACAACGATTTTGATTGGTTCATGCAAACTTGCTTGAGGCCAATCAGAGAATGCATTTCTAACTCCGTCAAACTTAGCCTATTCGGTCAAGGGTTTATGTGGGGAAGATGAAGTAAATGGACATACTGACATTACAGACCCAACTGCATGCATTGACTATGATGTTATAAATTTGATTTAGCTTCATTTTAATAGTACATAAATTTTCTATAGTACTTTCTTTCCTGTTACATTAAAATGATGATTCATGAAAATAAAAAATGCCTTACAAAATTAATGAACTAAATAAACATGGAGGGAAAAAATGATTGTCTCCCCCCAAATGGAAAAATATGTCTATAGAATCCAGTAAAACAAAGATTTATTTGAAGAATGACGTATTAGATTGTACATAACATTAGTTGGTTACTCTAAATTTAAAAAAAAAGCCAGAAAGACAAACACTTTAATTATGAAAAGGATTGAAGAGTACCCTAATGGGTTAAGTGTCCCTTAGTACAAGTAAAATCCTTGTTGTTGTTCCACCTGTATAGTGTATATACATCAGAAGTCTCTTAACAAAGATTGATATAAGTAAAATGTCATTCATCTATTTGATCTACTGTTGTAGTGAGCATGAACATGATAAACTTTTATCTGTTGGAAATGATGATAACTTGAACAAGCAAAAGTATGTGAGTACAAAGGGAGAGGGAAGCCTTCACTCACTGAGAACAACATCTGGAGGAGTGGAAGGGAGAAGCAACACATTAAATTCTCACAGCCCAAGTTCTAAGTCAACAGAAGTAAAGGCAGAGGTAAACAAATATATGTTATTAATATTTAAAAGTTTTCACAGCAGTTTCTTTACATATTAAGCTTTTCCAAGTTTTTATTTCTTTGTTTAGCATCCTTGGTTTTTGATACCCAGTATCAGAAAAAAAAAAAACATCAAGAGAACTGAAATTGATAATTCTGGTCAAATCACTGAATACTGTCATTTTCTATATTGATTACATGTATACAGATTCATTTATTTCCAGATAACGGTAGTTTATACGAACACTGATGTTTGTACTTTTATTATTTTATCAGGACAGCAATATGAAGATGCCAAACTGGAGGAAGAAAGTATTGAAGGTTGCAGTAACCATTATGTTCTTTGTCATGGCAATAGGTGTCATTGTAATTTGGACATTGCATGAAGGTGGAGGTGAAATCCTAAAGGAAGATGGTGTCTTCACATTTGATATTGATGAACGTGAACTTTTCATCAACCTTAAAGAGAATGAGAATGCTCTAAAGCTAAAACTTGGTGGAGATGAATTTAAAACACTGGCCAAAGAAACATCAGTGAGTGACCAATGTGAGGATCCCGCTAACAAATACTGTTATGTTCTTAGAGATGGGACAGCTGTATTTCTGAGGTCAACTCAGATGAATGGAATTCAGTGTTACCATATCAGCTGGAAAAACTTGACATCCTTTCTACCAGAGGATTGCTTTGAGTTAAATCATGGACACTGGTATGGTCTTGTGAATAAACAAAACCCATCAGGAAACACATGGCCAATACAGAATTTGCAAATTTCCAAGCAAACAATTCTTGCTGGCTACAATAAGGGCATAGGTAATATCTATGAATATTATTGGCTCTCAAGTACTGGAACAACATTCTATATTTTTGATGACTTTGCAGTTCAGATATCATTCAACCATTCCAACAGCAATAAATTTTGTGTCTCTCCTGTTCCCCGTGAAAACTCAAACTCACTTGAATATGCAGTTTGCCAAGGAACATCCATCAAAGAAGCTCACATGGGAACATCAAAGACATTCGGCCTACAACCTGCTCTTGCTTTCAACAGTACAGACATAGGATGGATGTTTGATTATGTTTGGGATACTCAGAACCTTGGAGTAGAGGACAGGAGTAGCATAGTTAACTTTATCCTGAATAACGTTTCCATCAATAACCTTAATTGTGGTTTGTTAGAAATTCCTTTGAGCTGGGAAGAAAATATTGGAGATTTTAATTTAAGTGTCAACCTTTTTCAGTCTGTATTTAAAGAACTAAAGGATTTAAAATGTAACATGATATACAACGTTTTTCCTGCTTCATCATTTGAATCTTCAAATTTTATATCTGGAATAAGATCAAAAATGTTTGCTCTAAACACATTCAGCAATGCAACATATTTGTTGGACTATAGAAATACGCAATGTGCGGTGTGGGAATTGGGGAATCAATATGTTCAAACATTTATTTTGAAAGAATTGTCTGATATTGTGAACAATTTTAATGTTAAGAAGTTTTTTTTGCAAAGTATCCCATCAGTGGATGGGCTAGAAGGACATTGGCCTAGTAGAAGTAAGGAGTTATACAGGCACTGGCTACACTTACTAAATAACATGACAGGACTGAATTTCCAAGAAGAAACCTTCAGAACACAGAGCATACCCTCTGCAGTCGAAATTCTTTTCAAGCAACATGCAAATGAGAAAAATGCATCACAGACTTGTATGACAAACAGTATTCCTAATTTAATTACGCTGTCACTGTTTGGGTATCCTTTACTCATTTCAGCCCTTGACCTGTCTTTGAATAAGTCTGTAGATCCAGATATACTCCTAAGATGGTTACAGGTTTCTGCATTTATCCCCGCAATAAAAGTCCCAATGGCAGCTTTAATGCAAAATACAAATTTACTTTCTTATGCAAGAAAGGACATTCTTGATCTGCATAACTCAATATATAAGAAACTGGATTTTCTTAAATATTTGGAAATGTCTAAAGAACCTCTTATAAGGCCACTCTGGTGGTTAAATCCTAAGGATTCTGAATCACTGACCATTTCTGATCAGTTCTTAGTTGGAGATGAGTACCTGGTAGCCCCCCTTTTCTGTTCAGGTCAAAGATCTAGGGACATATATTTGCCTAAGACTGCTGACACAAGTGTATGGCAGTACATTTTTAGAAATGGAACTATCAGAAATTTTGCAGCAGGGGGGTGGTTGCGAAAGTTTCGTGTAACATTGTTCGATATTCCATACTTTACTAGAAAAGTTGTGCTTCCTATTTCCGATGATTAGTTGAAAGTGAATTGCCTGTTGTATTTGTGTACTTTTACCTATTGCTATTACTCAAGAATTTGATTCAGTTTACTATTTTGGAAGAAGGATGTTGGATTGTGAAGCAAAATCTAGTTAATGAATTGTTATCTATCTGCATGATTCAACTATTTTACTCATCTGTTGCACTTGTCTCTGCTTTTAATAACATGATATTAATGATAGAATATTCAAATTTACACATACTTGAAACAGGTTAGGATGTTTTCTGCATTGCTTTCAAAGTTCCTTGACTGAATTAAATTTAAATTTGAGGATGACTTATTTTGATCAATTTCTTCTAAAAACATACAAGATCTTTTTGAGTTGACTCAGACTTTTCATTTGTCTTGAAGTTGTTCTGCATCTGTGGACAGAGACTCATTTTTGATAGTCATTTTCTATCATTGCATATATAAAATTAAGTTTTGATTGTTTTAAATGTTATCATTGGAATTGGACTTGACCCTTTACCTTGAAATCAGTAAATTTATACTAAAATATATTTATCTGCTGAGTGTGAACTACTGTGAGTATATCTTCTGACCTCTCTGTAAAGTGAATCAGATTACACCATACATGTATTCAAATGCTGCAGTCTGGGCTGGCCTTGGCATTTTACCTCATCATTGGTTCATAAAACATTACCTCTTTTGTTGATGAAATATTCTGATTATCAGCATTGAGTTATTTGTTCAATATTACCATTGGATGTGACCTTTGTCTTTGACTTTGGAGGTGGTGAATGATTTGGATATTAATCTTTGTTGAAGGTAACCAATCAACCTGTTATCTTCAATTTTCATGTAGGATATTATCAATGCATTAAGATATAACATTTAAGGAGGCTAGGGGGTCAACAAATTAACCACCCGATTTATCTTAATTTTTTAGAAATGATGTCTTAAGCTGTCAACTATCATTTGGCAAAGAAAAATTTCATACATCTTATTTTTAAAATTTGGTCATTTTTGTATATCTTTATATGGAGCTCTTCCTTTAAAGGAGGTAAAAATAGTCTGAAAATGGCCACAACCCCAGCCCCTTTAATGATTGATATGTTTTAATAAAAAAACCCTAAATTTTCATATGAGATGTGGGGGGCATGCTTCTGTTTCAATACAATGGTCTTGATAAATTACAGTCAAACCTTGTAATCTCAAAGATCTGAGGTTTCGAGATATGCAGGGGAAACTACTTAATGATAAGTGTTTGGGACTCCCAAATCACTTCAACATATCCATGGTATTTGAGATATCATGGTAAGAGATATCAAAGTTTAACTATTGTTACATCCAATAGATTTTCAATGCTTTGAATCCAATTTAAAACAAACTTTAAATTTATCATTCAGTTTCCGATTTGAACAGTGCACATGTAGTAATATTATACTTTCATGTAAATTACTTGAATCTGATTCGTCGAGAAAAATTTGATAAAAAACACTACTACCCGCTGAATAATGAAACGACACCCTCCTGCGTAGCGACAGTCAACATTGCTTGACGACGGGTGGTATTCCAAAAAATAACGACTGCGCGGGATCTATGCGCACACGGTTCACTGTAATATGTATTTGTATAAAACATTCAGTATGATATAATAAATATTGCATGTAGTTGAGTGTAACATTGAAAATTTTCACCCCTTGAAAACCATTGTCTACCTCGGCTGCGCCTCGGTTGACAATGGTTTTCTTGGGGTGAAAATTTTCAATGTTACACTCAACTACATGCAATATTTATATAGTGTTACATGAAGTGACTACATGTGTGAAATCTCATTTTGTAAATGAAGTATTGAACCATTTAATGCTAAGAAAATTATGTTTTCTAAGTCAATTGCATATAGGTTATGCCCTAATTGATTTAGAACAAATACAAATCCAGTGCTGTTTTTTCACATTATTAGACCATGTGTGCAATTGTTAATTAATAGAAAATTATGTATTGTGAGTGTTCTTTGTTATTAAGTTATCTATGAATAATAGTTCAGTTATTTTTTTGAAATTTTATTTATTTTTTATAGTGTAATGATATGCAGATTCTTAATCTTTTTTTATGATTCAACTCAGTGATGTGTTAATAATATGTCTAATAATCTATGTCAGCTATAATAAGTTATAAACTTGATCTGTTTTATGATCTCAAATGCACATGTCTTGAATATGTAGAATTTATTTTTACCATTTTTGTCCAGAGCCCTAATTTTTCATATTCCAATTCTACCTTTAGTATATGTCCTTGTGAAATTTCAAGCTTTTGTCACTAATTTGAAAATTATTTAACATAGATCATGTAGATTATTTGTGTTTTTAGCTCACCTGAGCCGAAGGCTCAAGTGAGCTTTTCTGATCAAAATTTGTCCGTTGTCTGTCGTCGTTGTCGTTGTTGTCGTAAACTTTTTACATTTTCATCTTCTTCTCAAGAACCACTGGGCCAATTTCAACCAAACTTGGTACAAAGTATCCTTAGGTGAAGGGGATTTAAGTTTGTTCAAATGAAGGGCTACGCCCTTTTCCAAGGGGTGATAATCATGAATTTGTTAAAAATTAATGGCATTTTTAAAAAATCTTCTTCTCCAGAACCGCTGGGCCAGGAAAGATGAAACTCATGTGAAGACATCCTCAGGTAGTGTAGATTCAATTTTGTTCAAATCATGCCCCCTGGGGCAAGGGTGGGGCCAAAATGGCCGACCCAAGTTTTACAGAGGAATATATAGGAAAAATCTTTAAAAATTTTCTTCTCCAGAACCACTGGGCCAGGAAAGATGAAACTCATGTGGAATCATCCTCAGGTAGTGTAGATTCAAGTTTGTTCAAATCATGACCCCCGGGGCAAGGGTGGGGCCAAAATGGCCGACCCAAGTTTTACATAGGAATATATAGGAAAAATCTTTAAAAATCTTCTTCTCCAGAACCACTGGGCCAGGAAAGATGAAACTCATGTGGAATCATCCTCAGGTAGTGTAGATTCAAGTTTGTTCAAATCATGACCCCCGGGGCAAGGGTGGGGCCAAAATGGCTGACCCAATTGATACATATGAATATATAGGAAAAATCTTTAAAAATCTTCTTCTCCAGAACCACTGGGCCAGGAAAGATGAAACTTATGTGGAATCATCCTCAGGTAGTGTAGATTCAAGTTTGTTCAAATCATGACCCCCCGGGCAAGGGTGGGGCCAAAATGGCCGACCCAAGTTTTACATAGGAATATATAAGAAAAATCTTTAAAAATCTTCTTCTCCAGAACCACTGGGCCAGGAAAGATGAAACTCATGTGGAATCATCCTCAGGTAGTGTAGATTCAAATTTGTTCAAATCATGACCCCCGGGACAAGGGTGGAGCCAAAATGGCCGACCCTAGTTTTACATAGCAATATATAGGAAAAATCTTTAAAAACCTTCTTCTCCAGAACCATTGGGCCAGGAAAGATGAAACTCATGTGGAATCATCCTCAGGTAGTGTAGATTCAAGTTTATTCAAATCATGACCCCCGGGGCAAGGGTGGGGCCAAAATGGCTGACCCAAGTTTTACATAGGAATATATATAGGAAAAATCTTTAAAAATCTTCTTCTCCAGAACCACTGGGCCAGGAAAGATGAAACTCATGTGGTGGAATCATCCTCAGGTAGTGTAGATTCAAGTTTGTTCAAATCATGACCCCCAGGGCAAGGGTGGAGCCAAAATGGCCGACCCTAGTTTTACATAGGAATATATAGGAAAAATCTTTAAAAATCTTCTTCTCCAGAACCACTGGGCCAGGAAAGATGAAACTCATGTGGAATCATTCTCAGGTAGTGTAGATTCAAGTTTGTTCAAATCATGACCCCCGGGGCAAGGGTGGGGCCAAAATGGCCGACCCAAGTTTTACATAGGAATATATAGGAAAAATCTTTAAAAATCTTCTTCTCCAGAACCACTGGGCCAGGAAAGATGAAACTCATGTGGAATCATCCTCAGGTAGTGTAGATTCAAGTTTGTTCAAATCATGACCCCCGGGGCAAGGGTGGGGCCAAAATGGCCGACCCAAGTTTTACATAGGAATATATAGGAAATATCTTTAAAAATCTTCTTCTCAAGAACCACTGGGCCAGGAAAGATGAAACTCATGTGGAATCATCCTCAGGTAGTGTAGATTCAAGTTTGTTCAAATCATGACCCCCGGGGCAAGGGTGGGGCCAAAATGGCCGACCCAAGTTTTACATAGGGATATATAGGGAAACCTTTTAAAATCTTCTTTTCAAGTACTTCAAAGCTATGATTAGTGATATTTATATGGAATCATCCTCAGGTAGTGTAGATTCTAGTTTGTTCAAATGATGAATGCCTGGAGGGGGGGGGGGAGTAAATTCAAGCCCGATGTGCTCAGGTGAGCGCTGTGGCCCCTGGGCCTCTTGTTAAGTCTTCTAGTTGTTTACACCAAGTTTAAATTGAATACAAATTCAGACCCTTAACTCCCATTTTCAAGACGAGGTTAATCCAGCAGAAGCAGTACAAAAAGAGGGAAGGAGGTTACACTTTGGATGTTTTTTTTTTAAATAGATAGTATTATGTAATGTAATGAATGATTTTTTTGTTTTTGAAAACTTGAAACATGGAAAGGGAGTAGGCATTAAAAATATGGCTAAAATGTTCTTATTTAATATATTATAATAAGTGTTTCTTCTGATGAATCTACCGAATTACACGTCAAGGCCACAGTTTCTTGAACCATTTTGCTTTTGTGTAGGGGAAGGTTGTTGATAAAATTTCAGATGAATCGGGAATCAAAATCAGAGTAATAGCCCTTAAAAAAGGAATATATCTTTGTAAGAAATTAAGAAAAATTTAACCTTAAGTTTGTAGGTAATCCATGCATAAAAGGATACAGCTTACCTGAAATTAGCTGCAGATCTGTAGCTCTCCGGAAAAAAAAATGATAGACTGGAGAACTACAGTGCCACCCCTTGAAAAAACTGTATATTTATTGCGCACGAAAAAGTGCGCTCGGTTCTCGGTTTATTTCTCCATGTTTTTAAACTGTAATCTCAAACTATTACTAACCGTGTGTTCCTAACATATTCTTTGACTCTTTCCACAGTAAAACATTCCTCATAATTGTTGTAAATAGTCCTCCTGGCCCTGATATTGTAATCATCAAACATTTCTCTTATTTATACTGGCATTTTGGTTTCAAGGATAATTCGGTCGAATATGCTTCATTCAGATGTCAACTACGAGAGAATTTGATAGAGGAGAGAGAATTTTTTTGAAATCTTCCCTTTTTTGCAATTGAGGTAAAAATTTGTAAGAATTAATCAAAAATCGAGCGCACTTTTTTGTGCGCAATAAATATACAGCTTTTTCAATGGGTGGCACTGTAGCTCTCCGGTCTATCAATTTTTTTTTCGGAGAGCTACAGATCTGCAGCTAACCTTAAATTTATATATAGTACATTTGTGTGTACAGTGTATTGGTAAATACTATTGTATTTTATTTACTATTAATTTCTGAACATTTGAATTAAGGATGCACTGTAAAGCTAATGGAACAAACATTAGTTACATGTTTCTATCAAAATACAATTTTGTTCTTAGCATAATTTCCTTTTGGTGCTTTCATTTTAATGTTTCCATTCTATTGTGCAATCTCTTAAAATGCAGTCATGATTTTTTCCTTTATTGTGTCAAGCAGGGCTTGAACGTCTACATTATTTTTATTTTGTTATGGTCTTATATGTAGTATGTGCATGTACAAAGGCATTTACAATTGGGCATGCAAGTGTGTTTAACCTTTCATTGTAGTATTTCTACCTTTCAGTGATACAATTTTTTTTTTTTAAATAAATGAACTACTTTCTTTGCATAATATGTTCTGTGTTATTTGTGATATATAGAAAAATATCATTAAAGTAAAAATATATGTACTGTCACTGCAGTGTATATTACATGTAACAGATAAAAAAATTACATTACAATGTAATTTATATTTTTCCAATTTTTTTTTAGTTGTATTACTTAAGTTATATTTTTACAATGGAAATCTTAAATTCATAATTAGATTTACCAATAAATAAAGCAGCAGAATTTTCATTTGTGCAAAACAGTTAGTGATCTGACTGCTGTTCTTACTTGATTGTTTTGTCATAAAAGTCTTATATACTTGTGTCAACAACTTAACATGAATGAAAACAAAATGATTTTTTAAAATGTTCTAGACCTGCTGAAGGGTGTATATAAAATGTACCGCTGGCACTTGTTTAAATGCGTTTTGTTTAAAATGTTACTTAAGGTTCAGTGCAATTTTAATCCTTGTAAATGCATAGTATAATCTATTCACTACCTAGTAAAACTTTTCACTCCTCACTTAAAAAAAAAAGAACTGTGTAATGCAAGATTCGGAATTTTCTTTTTAAAATACAATTTACATATACCGGTATATATTTAGCATGAAATTTTACTTTAAAAAATATTATTGTAAAAAAAGAATATTAACACATTTCCTCTGTTTGGTTGTATATAGTTAATATTTAACTTTCCACAATAAAAGATTATTTAAACTAGAGGTACTGTGAGCAATGAGCTCACTAAATGATAACCCCCGCCTCCCATATGGTTATAACTGGTGAAAAAGTCCATGTTTTCCTGTGGCCGGGAAACCCAAAATATGTGTCGGATCAAAAAGTAAAATAGGAGGTGCACAATGGCAATATGTAATAAAGATGCTGTGAAAGTTTCATCAATTTTCATTCAGTGGTATGAGAGGAGTTGCGGATAAGAGATGGGTACCCCAAAGCGTAACAGACGGACGGACGGACGGACAGACGGACGGACGGACAGACAGACGGACGGACGGAATTAACGATTACTATATACCCTCCCGCTTTTCAAGCGGGGGGTATAACTATAAAATCTCTTGGCTTATACCTATGGGTCATAATAAAGGGATGTATTATTAAAAAAAAAATAGAGGTACTGTGAACAATGAGCTCACTAAATGATACGCCATGCCTCCCATCTGATTGTAATGGCAAAGTCCTTGTTCTCTTTAGGAAAACAAGAAATAAGTACCGATATTAGATCAAAATATAAAATTGGAGGTGCACAATGTAATTATGTAAGAAAGAATCTGTGAAAGTATCATTAAATTTTATTCCGTGGTATAGGAGGAGTTGGAGATCAGAGATGGGCACCCTTCAATATTTATGTAGGATAAAGAGATAGGTACCCTTCAATATTATTTAAAAAATGGTATCGTCAATGTTTTGCTATGGGAAACCCGTAGTACATTTCCGATCAAAATGTAAATTAGGAGGTATACACGTGTCGGTAATGAGCTCACTAAATGATACCCCCGCCTCCAATGTGGGTGTAATGGCAAAGTCCATATTTTGCTCTGGGTTATCCGAAATAAGTATAAGATCAAAAAGTAAAATAGGAGGTGCACAATGGCAATATGTAATAAAGAATATGTGAAAATATCATTGTTATACCTTTCAAAATTGTATCCTATTATATGATTCTATACTGACTTAAACTTGAGGCAGTGAGCTATGTCAGCTCCCTAAATGATACCCCTGCCTCCCATATGAATATAATGGAAGTGTCCATGTTTTGATTTGGGAAACCCTAAAATAAGAGGTATACAATGGCATTATGTAACAAAAAATCTGTGAAAGTATCAATGGATTCAATTACATTGTATATATATTCAGTGCTATAAGAGGAGTTGCGGATAAGAGATGGGTACCCTTCGGTGTTATAGAAAAAATGGCCGTGTCCATGCTTTGCTATGGGAAACCCAAATATGTGTTGGATCAAAAAGTAAAATAGGAGGTGCACAATGGCATTATGTAATAAAGATTCCCAGAAAGTCTCATCAGATTTCATTTAGTTGTTTAAGAGGAGTTGCGGATAAGAGATGGGTACCCCAAAGCGTAACATTCGGACGTACAGACCACAGGCACTTGTTTCGTATACGGGGACCCTGTATACGAAACAAGTGCCTGTGGTACAGACAGCTAGATTTGATGAGACTTTCCGAGAATCTTTATTACATAATGCCATTGTGCACCTCCTATTTTACTCTTTTATTCGACACATATTTGGGTTTCCCATAGCAAAACATGGACACTGCCTTTATATTAATATGGGAGGCGGGGGTACATGTATCATTTAGTGAGCTCATTGCGCTCAGCTAGTACCTCTAGTTTTTTATATCCCCCGCTTGAAAAGTGGGAGGGTATACAGTAATCGGTATTTCCGTCCGTCCGTCCGTCCGTCTGTTACGCTTTGGGGTACCCATTTCTTATCCGCAACTCCTCTCATACCACTGAAGGAAATTTAATGAAACTTTCACAGAATCTTCATTACATATTGCCATTGTGCACCTCCTATTTTACTTTTTGATCTGACATATATTTTGGATTTTCCAGAGCAAAACATGGACAATGCCATTATATTCATATGGGAGGCGGGGGGTATCATTTAGTGAGCTCATTGCTCACAGTACCTCTAGTTTATACCCCCTGCTTGAAAAGTGGGAGGGTATATAGTGATCGGTATTTCCGTCCGTCCGTCCGTCCATCCGTCTGTTACGCTTTGGGGTACCCATCTCTTATCCGCAACTCCTCTCATACCACTGAAGGAAATTTAATGAAACTTTCACAGAATCTTCATTACATATTGCCATTGTGCACCTCCTATTTTACTTTTTGATCTGACATATATTTTTGATTTTCAAGAGCAAAACAAGGACACTGCCATTATATTCATATGGGAGGCGGGGGTATCATTTAGTGAGCTCATTGCTCACAGTACCTCTAGTTTTTTTTATATGTACTCTGGAAAATATAATTTTAAGAATTAGCATTGAAATTGAAATTTTCTGAAAAAAAAAAAATTATCTACCGACCCAATATTT